GGCTCTTCTATGGGCTTGGTTGCCGAAGCGACTGCTTCGGCGATCAGGTCCATAGAGCTGCGAGGCCGGCCCCGGCCTCGCTGCGGAACGGATTAGGCCTTTTCAAGGTTAAATTTGCTTCGACATACGAAATTTTCTACTTACAAAATGGGCTGTGGAATGGATTAATTTCGTAAGTAGAGGTACCACTGTATCTCACAAAACTACAATACCCAGGATGTCATAGCAGTGAGCCATCACAGTTAAAGCAATGTCTGACTGTATTATTTCTGCAGTTCAGATACAGTTAGAGTTAAATGGCTCCATCTTTTGTGAGACACTATCATTATGTCCCTCTGAGCCCAAACTGCTAATGGATCTTCCAGAATATCTAAATTCCAGTTCAGACCTCTTCAAATCCTGCTTTGTTTTAGACATCTCCCAGATCTGCTGGAATCAACCCAATTTGGTTCAGGATTTCTCTGAACCTAAAGCACACCTTAGCAATAATTGAAGCAGCATTGTGGAAAGTGGTTACTATGAAGTTTTTGTTTTGTTTCCAAAACTGAAAGTGAATTCTGGTCATTACCTGTCTTTTTGTGGGGGAATCCCTCTCCTGGGCCTAAGACTGCCTAGTGAGGGGACAAGTAGAACTGTCCTTGATGCCCACAAAGGGTGATAGGAACATTTTGATTTAAAAAAAAACTCTAAGTATAGCTTTCTTAAATCCAGTGAGACCTGTGCAAACCTTGGGAAATTGCATATTCCTGAATTAGAAAAATGGTCAAAGGAATTCTAGGAAAAACATACAGAATGCTGAATGTAATCCAGCATGATTTCTGGACAAACCATTGAAATCCTCCCCATAATTCTACCAAGACCTCTACAACCTCCACTTCGAGCAAAAGTCTACAGTTTGCAAATTTAGCTGTTTTCATAAAGATTAGTCTTATGTATAATGTGCACAAGGACTAAAGACAATGGTTCACAGTTAACAGCTATTCAACAGCAGATATCAGTCAGGTTCCGCAACAAAATAATTCAAAAGGTATACACATGTGTTCACAGTATATTTGATTTTTCCTTATGATCTAAGGGCATAATCTGCCAAGAACTCCTCTGGCTCAAGCATTATTAATGTGACTGGGAGTTGTGCTAGAAGTTATCTCCCCAGGACAAGCTTGTAGAAAGTATGAGCCTGCAGGTCAGTTCTTCATAATTTATTAGCTTAAAAAAAGAATAAACCTCAGCAATATGAAGCCCCAAAGAGTTTCTTATGGCTGTTCCAATACAAATGAGTGAACAAATAGGAAAGGAAAGGAAAGGGCAGAAAGGAATACCTTGATACTCAGTAACAAGCCAAAGAATTTTCCAAACAGTATCCCCTTAGTCTCAAACAGTGTCTTGTCTTTTGTAAAACAGAATAATAAACAAAAAATACTGGCAAGGACTGAAGAATTCACCTTCACAGAACTGGGATATGGTCAATATTGTCAGTGATGGATTTGAGTCAGGATTTGTGGGTCCATTCTCTAGATCAGGGGTCAGCAAACTACGGCCCAGGGGCCAAATCTGGCCCCTCGAGGCCTTTCAACCAGCCCATGGCTGGTCCTGCGCCGCCGCCGCCACCGCGCATGCGCAATGTGGGGTGCCATTTTGTGTTCCAAAATGGTGCCCCGCATCGCACACGCATGCACATGATGCCAGGAGTAGTGCGCATGCGTGTGCGTGCATACACACCTCCGGCACCATTTTTTTTCCTTTGGCCCACCAATGATCTGGGGGACAGAGGAACCGGGCCCCCCCAAAAAAAGGTATGCCGACCCCTGCTCTAAATATTATGATATGAGAGCATCTTATTTGCCATTATATTTTAAGAGCAATTCATCTTATTTGCCACTCCTTGAGGCCACTTAAATTTATCATGATTTAGGGGACTCATCATAACATAATCTGGATTTGGCTACCAAGATTAATTAACCATTCTCAGTCTCTCCACATCATAATTTCTCCAGAAATGATTACAGTCTGCCCTTCAAATCTACTGATTTTTTTTTATCCATGGAGTCAACCACCCATGGCTTGAAAATATACAAAACAAATTACAAATTCCAAAAAGCAAACCTGGATTTTGCCATTTTATATACAGGACACCGTTTTACTGTGCCATTATATATAACGGGACTTGAGCATCCACAAATGTTGGTATCCATGGGGTGTCCTGGAACCAAATCCCAGCAGATACCAAGGGTCTACTGTAATTACTCTTCATAGCCAAAGTCAGAATAAGGTATGCTGAACCCTCTAATCATGATAAACTTAAGAGGTCTCAAGGAATGGCAAAGAAGCTGAATTGCTCTTATACCAAAGATGAGAAGCATATGGTCTACAGACGATATGCAGCCTTTAGCCATCTTTTTCACCCACAATCTTTCCACAAAGCCCTATGGAAAAGACATAGGAGGAAGGGGGGAATTCTGCTTCTGGAGGCCTCTAGGAGCAGCAACTAAAAATCAACAACTTGAAAATAATTATATCAAAATCTGGGATGAGGTTAAAAAGAGATTTAAAGAGATGGCAAGGTCTCAATTTATCATTACTGGGTAAGACTTCAACAATCAAGGTGACTGTATTACCAAAACTTATGTACTTACTTCAAACTATACCAATTATTACCTCAAATGTGCCTTTTTCAAATTGGAAAAAAGAATTAGTGAAATTGATATGGTCGGGTAAAAAAACCCAAGAATTAATGAGGATCATTAATAGATTCAAAAGAAAGAGATGGATTAAGTTTATCAGATTTGAAAATATATTCTGGAGCATCTTGCTTAACGATTGGATTAGGTTAGATAATAGAAAGCTATTGGATTTTGAGGGACATGAATTAAAATTTGGTTGGCATTCATATTTATTGTATGAAAAAAAGCAAATTCTGGTTTTAAAAATCATATGTTAATAAAGCCATTATTAAGAGTTTGAGATACATATAAAAATAGATTGAATCCAAAAATTCCTAGGTAGTTATTGGTTCAGGAAGCTTTCCATAGAAGAGAATTAGGTAGTGTGAAAAACTGGATTAAATATGGGGATTTGCTAAAGGAAGATCAAGATAAATGAATATTAAACAACAGGCTGATTTGGAAGAAAAGGGTTTTAAAATGCAGTGGTTAAGATACTATCAGTTAAGGGAAAGATTCAAGAAAGATATGGTAAATTATGGTTTTGAAAAGAAAACAAGAGAATTTGAGAATTTAATTAACTCAGGAGAAAAATGTACTACATCAAAATTATATAAATTACTATTAAGATTTAATATGGAAAAGGATCAGGTTAAAGAATGTATGATTCAATGGACCAAAAATTAGGACATAATATTATGATGAGTCAATGGGAAAGGATTTGGACTAGAGAATTGAAATTTACATGTAGCTATGACCTGAAAGAAAACTATTGTGGTCTCTTCCAACTCTATAATTCTATGATTCTATGATTCTATGATTCTATTATCAAATGTTTTTCAGGTGGTACTTGACCCCTGACAGATTAGCTAAAATGTATAAAGGGACTACAGATAAATGATGGAAATGTCATCAGAAAATTGGAACGTTTTATCATACTTGGTGGACATGTAAAAAAGCTAAAGTCTACTGGATGAAAATTATTTTTGTTATTCAAAAGGTGTTGGAGAAAGACATAGTGTTTAGACCTGAATTATTTTTGCTAAATATGATTGACTATGA